CCGCGAGGCCGGCTCTAAAGGCTCCTCTTAGCTCCACCCGGGAGCTGGGCGCAGGCCTGGCTTTGCCTGCTCGGGAGCAGGGGGGTGACAGGGCGGGCCTGGGGGGTCCGGGTGGGCGATGTGCAGAGCCCTTTGGGGCCGCTCCCCCGGCGCTGGCTGGCTTCTGGCTGCTTCTCCCATCCCACCTCTTTGCTCCGACAATCCGGGAGACTGCTGAGCTGTAAAGAGGGGAAATGGTGCCAGTCCCTAGACACAAAGTCCTCCCAGAGGGACAGAAGGGCACCAAAATCAAGACAAACGCTCCTTTCCCTGCTCTTGGCAGCATCAAAATGGCTAGTATGCACCGGGAGTCCAAAGCCGAGGGACCCATTTAAACCTGGGGCGTCTGAGTGAATGTCTGTGAGGTGTCAGGGTTCGCTGCTGGAAGAGAGTAGATCTGGAGCTCTGCTCTGCACGGTGCAGGTTGCTCCCTCTGCTGCGTTTTTATCGGAGGTGGAAATTATAATCTTTGTCTATTCTTCTCTAGTGAGGATCAGGATGAGCTGCATTACCAGGATACTGACTCGGATGTGCCGGAGCAGCGGGACGGCAGGTGCAAAGTCAAGTGGACGCAAGAAGAGGTGAGTGAGAGCCCGGCACTTGCTGAGAGCAGGTGTTTTGGGGTAGGCCACTGGCATGGCACCCGGGGCTTGGGTGCCTCCACCCTAGTCATCTCCCACTGGCCACGACACCACCTCCTGCTGTCTTGCTACTGGAGAAGACCATGTGTCTGTTTTGCTCATGTGAGCTGAGGTCTTAATGAGTCTAGGAGGCTCAGGGGAGTTTGAAGTGTAGCCTGGAGAGCAAGAGCTCCAACCACTTTAGCTTAAGCATGTGAGCCCTGAGCTGGCATCTGCAGCGCTCTTGTGAGCAAAGAGGAGTTCCAGACGTTGGCTGAGGCCTCCAGCAAGCTGAATCGCGCAGTGGAAATGTCCTCCCTTTTCTGTAGCAAAAGCAGGGAGCATTGAGACTGTTGGGATCATGGCTTAGTCATCCTGGCTGAGAACCTGAAATTAGCTGGGATATTCTCTTCCCTCCTCCCAGTTCCTCCATCATCTTTGTTCTGTTTGAAAACTACAAGATGTCCTGTCTCCCCTGGGGTCTGAACACCAAGTAAGGTGGTCTTTGTGCAGAGATCAAAGCCTTGGGCTTGTGTTGGGCAGGGAATTATTTCATGCTTCTGTTTGCCCAGCCAGAGCACACAGGCAAGGACGCCTATAGCAGGCTTGTTGTGAGCTGTAAGAGTCGGCAAACCTGGGCTATAGCAGGGTTCATGAAAGAAATGCTGTAGAGCCCAGTAGCTCTGAAAGACAGTAGACTGCCGGGCTAGTGGTGATACACTTAAATCAGTCAGCTTTCTTGGCCAGGCAAAAGCAGTGGCTGAGCTGGGAGATGGACTGTCTGGTCAGGGGTGTACTGGGGCTGGGTAAGCAGGTCACCTTGGCCACAGGGTTTGAACCAGACTGTACTGGAACAGAGCTGAGCTCTTGTTTTGTACTCACTGTACGAGCTCGCCCTAGTACAGAGCCCAGAACCAAACAGTCTGTGCCAGTTGAGCTCCATGTACTGGAGCGCTGCTAAAGAACGGTGTGAGCTACCTTCCTCCCCTGAACGCAGAATGCCAAAAAACCCTTCTTGACAGGTCAAAACGTCTAGTTTGTTCTCTTGATGCCGTCAGCCCAGGGGTGCCTGTGGCGCGTGTTGCCTCAGTGTGTATGAAAGTGGATGTCTTTGTTCTTTGCAGGACGAGCAGCTGAAGATGTTAGTAAGACATTACGGGCAGAATGACTGGAAGTTCCTGGCCAGTCACTTTCCTGTAAGTGACCCCTTGCCCAGTTGGGAATCGTGGTGTTTGCGTGTTGCTGTTTGTGCTCATTGCGCTGGTTCTCTGTGTCTGTGCAGCACCTTGCACAGCGGGAGTCTGTTCTGTGACTGCAGCTCCAGGCTGTGAAACGGTGCTCCTTCAGGGCAGGGAGACACCCTAGAGGACTTTCAAAGGCGAGTCTCTTGGAGCTGGGGTGAGAAATTGAGGTTCCTGTCCCTGTGCCCAGTGCCCTAGTCATAGTATGTATTGTCCATGTGCTTCTGCAGGTTTTCCATGGGACAGCCTTTGTGTGTGGGGACTGCTGTTGCTATAGGGGCTTTTGGAGCCTCCGGTCTAACGCATAGCTACTCTCATTCCTTTTCCCAGAACCGCAGCGATCAGCAGTGTCAGTACCGGTGGCTGAGAGTGTTGAATCCAGACTTGGTTAAGGGCCCTTGGACCAAAGAGGAGGACCAAAAGGTAAGTCAGGGCTGAGAGGATATGAGTGTTGGACTGTGGCTGTCTGCAGAGAGGATGGAGGTGTCAGACCCTCGGGTCTTTTTGTAAACTGTGAGTAATTCTTTCCAATGGTGGATATCCACGAGAGCAGCACTCTGACCTGCTCTGGGCAGACTAACGCACCTGTGGTCATGATGAGCAGAAGCAGGTCTAGGCTTCTTTAGCTAAACACCACCTCCCTTTCACAGAGTACTGCTACAATAGGGTGCCAAAGGAGAGAGCAGAAAAGGGAATCAATTCATCATCTGCCTGCTGGCAGATCTCCACCTGACCTGGCCATGCTGGACCCAAATAAAAGTGGCATTTCCTGTGCCACAGTAGACAGCCTAAAGTGGATGTCAGAGGTCTGCTAGGTGAATCATGACTTCTGCAAACCTGTTTCTCTGCTGATTCCAGAGTGAGCTGAGAGGGGCCAGCTCAGGTAAACTCCTCATCTTGATGTACTTAAGAAAAGTTGGAATTCATTCCAACTTTTACCAAGGTTTTCTGCTGCAAAATTTCCTAGTTTGTCAGATTCCCTGTAACGCTTCTGCTCCCCCATTTCTTTGCCTTTTGGTCACATTACAGGCTGTTACGGTCCCTTTTGTCTCCCATCTGTGTGTTATGTCAAGCACATCCTAAGGAAGCTTATTATGTCATTCCATCTTCCGACAGCAGAGCAATAGCTGCCTGCTTTCCCCTTCCCTTTGCATGTCCTGACTGCCAGCCTACCCAGTCATGATGCTCACTGCCATCCTGGCCAGGCTGGGCTCCAGCTTTCTCCTCCTGACACTGCACGTTGCGCTTTGCCCTGCAAGCACTCCAGCTCCTTGGCCTGTGCCTCAGTTTGGTGTCTTTGGTCCGTTTGTCTGTGCTTGATAGTCAGGAGTCTGTGGTAGGAACATCTGTTATGGGCCAAGAGCACTGTGAGCATCACCTGGCTACCCGTACCTTGCAGCTGACCAGGGTGGAAATGCTCTTTGAGAACCCTTCAGCCTCGCCAAGATTTTGGTGGGCTGAACATTGCAGGCAGTAGATTGTTTCATCCTGACTGTGCCATGGACATATCGCAGGGGCTCAGAACAGATTCCCTGCCCAGAAGCATTTGCATTGAGCCTCAGGCAGAAGTGACAAAGCCCTGGCTGAAGGGGAAGTGGCAAAGTGGATGGCTTTTAAGTGAATATTGTTCGGTTTTGTTTTGGAGTTTTCACCGTGTGTCCTGGTGCTAGCGGGGCATGAAGCTGCAGGCCCTGTCATGTCCTGGGTGTAGCACCCTCTGTTAAAGGGAGGCTGTGGCCCTCTGTCCCAGTGGGCAGACCAGTGCAGAGCTTATGGGGACTGTTGTCATGGTCAGGTCCTTGGTAGGAGGGAGGGCAGAGGAGCCTCGGAGCACGTGGGACTTGGCCCTTGCTCAGAAATGGGCATGTGTTTCTAAATCTGAGCCCCTCTGCCCTTGGTGCACCTGCCAGTCTCTACCCCATCTTCTGTGAGCAGTCATCTGCATTCACAGGTGCCATGTGGCAAAATGTCTGCATGGAAACAGCCTCTTTCAGAAATTTGGCTGAATCATTGCTCTCACAAGTGTTGGTACACCTGATTATCAGTGCTGGATCCCTCCAGCTTTTTCTCCTAAGGAGCCTTTCTCTGTCTGCCCTTACCTGGTCCTGAGAGAAGTGAAGAACGAAGCCTGAAGATGACTGTATTGACCTTCCCCTCCTTTATTCCATTTCCTTATTTCCCTCCTGCTCTCTTCAAAGGTAATTGAACTGGTTAAAAAATATGGCACCAAACAATGGACCCTGATAGCCAAGCACCTGAAAGGGCGGTTAGGGAAGCAGTGCCGGGAACGCTGGCATAACCACCTGAACCCTGAGGTGAAGAAGTCCTCGTGGACAGAGGAGGAGGATCGCATCATTTTTGAGGCCCACAAGGTCCTGGGGAATCGTTGGGCAGAGATTGCCAAGCTGCTGCCTGGGAGGTAGGACCTCTTTGCTCACTGTTGCCTTCACAGCTGGGTGGCCTGTGGAGATCCATGTGTTTGGCTCACAGGATGGGGCTGGAGAGCACGTAGGAGCTGTTAGCCGTGCTTTAAAGCTGCTGTAAACGGTGATTTCTGTTTCCTTCTGCTTTCTCTGCAGGACCGACAATGCTGTGAAGAATCACTGGAACTCCACCATCAAGCGCAAGGTGGACACAGGAGGCTTCCTCAATGAAACTAAGGAGTCCAAGTCGCTGTACTTGCTTGTGGAGGTGGATGACAAGGAGAGCCAAAGTCAAACGAGAGCTGGGAGCCAGGTACTGCACCAGCACATTTGCAGCAGGCAGCTGGGTCAGTCCCCTGCTCTGCTAATGCATATCAGAGCTGTTCATCTCACGCCGCCTTTGCCACAGCCTGGTGTCTACATAGACAGTCTGTGCCTTCCCCCAGCCTTCTCCAAGAGGCTGACTCTTGGGAGATCTCTCCCTCCAGGAGCTGGAGGTGTAATGTGAGCCCGAGTGTGTTATCCAGGTGGAGGACAGCAGTCTGCTGGTGCTGTTCTCTTGCCAATCCCAGCATCAGGTCTGTCTTGGAGACTGAAGATTTTTTTTTTTTGGCTCCATTGTGCTGTTGCTGGTGGGAGAAGGAGGCTGCTCTAGACAGCGTGGGGGGCATGGTGAAGAGGCATTGTGTTCCTTTCCCCTAAAAAAGGAAGCAGGGGAAGTACACCCAACTATTTTTTTCATGAAGAAAGCATGTAGTTTTTCAAAGGCAGGCTCTTGGAAAGTAGGAAATGCAGAATTAGTGCTACCTGCTCAGCCTTCGTTCAGCTTTCTCCTGGGATACTGTTAAGTGAAATCTTCAATTAAACAGTCCTGTGCTCGTTATGTTGCCTGGATTCCTGCTCAGATGGTGTATGGGACAGAGCAGTGAGCTGGTGGGAGAAGGAGGCCGCTCTAGACAGCGTGGGGGGCATGGTGAAGAGGCATTGTGTTCCTTTCCCCTAAAAAAGGAAGCAGGGGAAGTACACCCAACTATTTTTTTCATGAAGAAAGCATGTAGTTTTTCAAAGGCAGGCTCTTGGAAAGTAGGAAATGCAGAATTAGTGCTACCTGCTCAGCCTTCGTTCAGCTTTCTCCTGGGATACTGTTAAGTGAAATCTTCAATTAAACAGTCCTGTGCTCGTTATGTTGCCTGGATTCCTGCTCAGATGGTGTATGGGACAGAGCAGTGAGGGAGAACGGGGATGTGAAACAAACTGAATGGCAGGTAGGAGAGCAGGCAGAGCTGAATGTGTCCAGGGACCCTTGCTCTTTGTCCCCAGGACTTGACATTGTTCCCTTGGTTTCTACTAATGGCTGGACTTTCTTTGGTGTTTGTGCAAAGACCGTCCTGCCGAACTGGCCAGTCGATATCTCTGAAATAAAGGAAGAGGATGTCAGTGATGAGGAAGTGACGGGTGTGCAGGAGTTACCCTCGGAGCTGCCAGCTGCTGAACTGGCAGAGCATAACGCTGAGGGGACCCCAGATGATGCGCTGCCTGAGGATGCCTCTTCATTTGTCACATCACCGTACAAATGGGTCGTTGAAGCTGCCAACTATTTGTACCCAACATCTGTGCCAGCCTTCAATGAAGCTCTGGACATGATTGAATCCGTAAGTAACAGACCTTTGCTTCTCCAGCTAATGTAGGGAGACTGATCTCTACCCTTTTCCCTTGAGTGAACTTACTGGGTCCCCTTGCTCATCACCATGGGCATCCTGATGAGGGCTGGGTCTGTCATTGGCTTGCGGCTTCCCACCGTCTCTTTTCCAGGGCTGGATTAGGCCTTTCCCGCTCTGCCAGTATTGCTCTGGGCTTTGATATTCCCCTAGGTGGGTGTCCTTGTGCATGGGCTCTGCTGGTGTGGGAGGCTGTAGATGCTGGCAAACCTGATCCCAAGCCCTCCTTTATCAGCCAGAGTGTCCCCAGCTCTCCCTTTCATAAAAGTTCAGGCCCCTGCTTACGGGCTTTCCTTTCCCTCCTGTTAGAGGATGGGATAGGACAGGACAGACTGGGAATAGGCCAGGCCCATTTGCAGTATGCAGGACAGACCCCTTCACACTGGGATGAAGGCCACCATTTGCTTCCAGTGGAGGTAGCTTCACTGAAACTAGTAATTTTGGGCCAGTCAAGCAGCGCTGAGGTCCCCAGGGTGATGGAGGCACGCCCGGGCCAGAGGCTGGCTAGAATCAACAGAGCACTTTGCTGCCATCAGAGGGAAATGTTTCTGCAGCCCCCAGCCTGCTTGAGGAGTTTATGAGCTGATTACCCGTGAAGGATTCACTTTGCATGTGTATAGGAGGACAGAGAGTCTGTGCCCAAGGCTTAACGGCCCATCTGTGGGTCCTTAGGGGCCTGCTTGTATGGTACTTTGGGTATTGGTGGGGTTGAGCGGTGAAGCAGCTGATCTCTGAACTGGTCTGGTTATTTTTAATCCGCTTCCAGCAGTGCGGGTTATAGCAGAGCCCTGTGTCCAGCTGTATTTGTGTGCCCAAGACTGGTTTGGTATTGGGTGACAGCCGCTTCATTCAGCCCCTGTCCCCAGACCTATCCCCAGCTGCTTTTTTTGTCCCCTCTGTGTGGGGGTGCAGCTGTTTGTGCAGCTGTGCTGTGAACTGAACTGGGAAACCAACCTTGCAAAAATAGAAAAATCTGCCCTATGCACAAGCAGCAGCTTTCAGCTGGGTCAGTTCCCTGGTCTGGTTCTCAGCTGTGCTGGCAGCAGAGGGGAGGAGGGCTTGAGCTCTCCTCTAGCTAGGCTCCTTGCAAAAGCTGGTGCAATCTCACACACCCACTTATTTCACCTCCCAGTTCATCTCTGCATCTGCACCAGTTCGCTGCTCAGCTTTCCTTCCTAGGCTGCTTCTGATGGTTTCCCTTGTGTGCAGGACCCAGATGGGTGGTGTGATCTGACCCAGTTTGACCTGCCTGAGGAACCTTCTGCCGGCAGCAGCAGCAGCAGCAACAGCCCGGTGAGGCAAACCCCCAGCAAGCCAACGCCGTCCCTGCCCAATGTGACCGAGTACCGCCTGGATGGCCACACCATCTCTGACCTGAGCAAGAGCAGCAAGGGGGAGCTCATCCCCATCTCTCCGCATGCAGAGGTGAGCTTTGGCACGCCGCCCTCTGTGCTGAAGAGGCAGAAGAAGAGGAAGATCTCCCTCTCCCCCGTCACGGAGAATGCTGCCAGCACCAGCCTTTCCTTCCTTGACTCCTGCAACAGCATGACGCCCAAGAGCACCCCTGTCAAGACACTGCCCTTCTCTCCATCTCAGGTACGGAGCAATGGCAGAGCCCAGTCTGTGCTCCTCTCCTTGGGCTTGGTCACGAGCTAATAAGCATGTTAATGCTCTATCTGCTTGCCTTAATGCCACGTATTCCCATCAGCTCTTCCAGCTTTGTGTTTCTCCTCCCTTGAATGAGGCAGTGCCAGTGCACAAGGTGTGTGTCTTTGCTAAAACAAGGTGCAGAGCTGGGTTCTGGTGCTGCTTGTCTTCAGCGCTGCCCTTCCTGTGGGAGCAGCAGCCTGTCTCCGCCTCTGGGAGCGCTTGCAGCGTCAGCAAAGCCCAGCTGCCCTGTGATGGGCAGCGCACGTGTCCACTATGAGAAAGGAACACCACTGTGCAGATCTGCATGCCTGCCCACTCCAGGATTGCTGGAGAGCATGATGCTTCTGTCCCCACGGCATTGCTGCCCCAGCTGTGGGTAGCAGTGTGGCAGCACTGGAGTGGTTTTCCCTGTTTGTTTCCAGTTAAGTCACACAGGCAGGCTCGGCAGCATTACGCCTTGTGCAGATCTCCGAGTTGCTGTGCTTAAGAAAATGCTCCTTGGCTTGTCGTCTTTGCAAAAGGGACTCAGGATCTTTCCTGAGTTGACTCCTACAGTGTCCACACACATGTGCATACAAGGTTTCCAACATACATCATCTTGGAGCACTGTGGTGTTCAAACCCACTGGTGTCTTGTATATTAATGTGGTGGAGAATAAAGGCTGCTGCGTTCTCCAGCACAGCTCCCACAGCTGCTCTGTTGTTCAGACCCTGTCTACCCCTGCCTTCCAGTCCTTTATTTCTGCTGTCTCTGTAGCCCTGGGTGGCACATGGGAGGGCACCACAGGACGGTCTGACACCCAGGTTCAGGTGGACCTCGAATGCAAGGCCAGCAAGAACTGGGAAGTCAGAGCGGGACCTGAAATATGCAGCTCTGCAGAGTGTGAAAGGCTGGCAGGTCTGGAGTGAATCTGAGAAGGCAAACGGCATGTCCTGCCTCTCGGGCTGGGCTTCAAGCATCAGTGAATGTAACACACACAGCTCTTCTCTCCCGATAGTTTCTTGGGTACAAACCTCGTTCCTTATAGGAGTAAAGTTGTAACTTACTAGCTGTCGTGAAGTAAAATCCTAGCAGAGATGAGATTGTTTGTGGTTTTCTCACAGTTTAGGCTGAAGACAGCTCAATGCAAAACCTGCTAACTTGTACGCTGTTGTGTTACCTGGGCTTCCCTCACGTTTACCAACCTGAGGTCAGAATAGACCTTTGGTGGGCTGGCATTACCCCTCCTTCACCATTTTGCTTGGCCTTATCTGGAGCAGTGCAAGGAGGGACTTCTCTCCCACCCTGTAGCTGCTTGTAGTCATATGGACTCATCCGTTATGGGAAGTGAATAATCTTTATGGGTGTGAGGCACCTCCTGGCAACTTTCATGTGTGTGTCCATGTACAGGACTGTATGAGTCTGTAAGAGTCATCCTGGTTTATACTGGGATATAAATGTGCCACTCACTATGGGAGTATTGTTGCTACTTCAGGTTTCCCCCCCCATTTACGAAAAAGCAATGACTTGTGATACTATGCTGGGATGCTTGAGACTGAGTGTCTTCTCTTTCTTTCTTTCCTGTGCTCTGCAGTTCTTAAACTTTTGGACCAAACAGGATACACTAGAACTGGAGAACCCGTCACTGACCTCCACGCCTGTGTGCAGTCAGAAGGTGATTGTCACCACTCCTCTGCACAGGGACAAGACCCCTCTGCTCCAGAAGAACTCAGCGTAAGTCTTTTCCTCCTCCTCCCCCATGCCCACCTGAGCAGTGTCCTTTTCCACGCAGGAGTCTGGTCCAATTCAAATATAGCTCCCCCAGTACTTGTACTGGCGCTACTGAGAGAGGGGTAGGGCAGGGTGGGAATTTCCTTAAATCGGTGTTTTCCCCCCAAAGACAGCTCCTCTCTGAGCTGCAGGGAACAAGCGTCCCATCTGATTGGGGCTGCAGCCAACTGACCACTGTTGTGCTCAGCTGCTGGGTGGGCTGTTGCCTTCCGTGCATGTCTTTGTCTGGGAAATGTTGCTGTGCTGTGAGCCCTGTGCCAGCAGGGAAGGGATTTGATTTTCTCAGCAAGAGCTGTTCAGATCCATCCCTTTAGCTTTGCACCCTCTGCTTTGCCTGTCCTGATGGGCAGTCCAGGGCGATGATTACCCAAGGCACTGTACCAGGCAGGTGATCTGCAGGGGTGGTCTGCGCAGGGGGTGTTTTGCTGGCAGACCTGTCGCTGCACTGAAGCAGCACAGTGTTTGGGGATACTGGCTGCGCTAGCAAAACCACTCTGTTGTTGGCATGGTCCAGAGCAGCTCCCCCATCCAGGCGATGCGAGCTGGCTTGGCTGTTCTAAGTGCATTTGCACCTAGGACTTCTGCTGGTCCAGCTGTGACTGTTGCAAAGTCCAGGCTGGGCCTGAGCGGATCCACCAGCAGAAGCATTGCAGAGTAGGGCTGGCCTGCAGAGCTGCATGTGGCCTGTGTCAGAGGTGCTGTACTGCTTTCTGACAAGGGTGCTTGGCAGCTGGCAGGGTGGAGCAGCATAGCTGGCATGTCTGAAAGATGTTTTCCCTGCTAAAGGCTCCTCTTTGCCTGTTTGCCCTGCTCGCACCCCAGGAGCAGTCCAGCCAGGCAGGTGGCTTCTGCTGCCACCACGTGAGACTCTGCAGGTGGGTCACGTAATGAGAGGGCTCAGGAGGACGGGGGTTACTTTGTGTGGGTTACAACATGTCTGATTCTTCATCTTTCCCACTCTCTGCTGCCAGGTTTGTCACACCAGATCAGAAGTACGTGGTGGACAACACTCCTCACACCCCCACACCTTTCAAAAATGCCCTGGAGAAATATGGACCAATTAGGCCTCTGGTAAGTATTGGGCAGGTCTGCCGTTTGCCAATGGCAGAAACATCATGGATACAAACAGGACGTGGGGTAGGTTGCAGTGGAGCTGTGAGTGAGCCTTTATCTGTGCCATAACAAGTTACAGTTTGGTAGTGCCAGGCTGAGATGGGAGGGATGAAGGGGACCTTGTCATGGCGAACATGCCATGGTAAGTAGCCACAGGACTTTTAGCTCCTCTGTAAACCAGCTAAAAATGCCAAAAACTGTGCTTGAATCAGGCTGCAGTGCTTGGCTACTGATGACCTTGAGGAAAAGCAGGGGAACGGTTTACCTAGGCATTCCTGAGGAACTGGGTCTCTTAATGCGGGTGTGGTGGGGATGGCAGTTTCCAGTATCCCAGGCCTTCTGTGCATACTGGTCTCTCGATGGCACATTTGGGGTTCAGCTGATAAGAGTTTCTCATGCCTGGAGATCCTGTAAATCTGTCAGGCTAGCAGAAATCTTGTCACATCTTTTCCAGCTGGAAGTAAATAAGTCGTCTTTGTGTTTGTCCTCCCACCATGGGCTCCCCTGACCTCATTATCCCTCGAGGGAAATACTCGTGAGTCTGCCCAGCATACAGATTTTTACTGTCTTGTGCTCGTTCTCTGCCTTTTGACATCAGCCCCAGACTCCTCACCTGGAAGAAGACTTGAAAGAGGTGCTCCGAAGTGAAGCTGGCATCGAGCTTATCATAGAGGATGATGTGAAGCCTGAGAAACAGAAGAGGAAACAAGGGGTGAGCTGATTTTGCATCCAGTACCTGCTGCTGAGCTGCCCTGTGCTGTTGAGGGGTGTTTTGGCTGGTTTTGTTCATCCTACTGTTGATGCCAAAAAGTTTTTGGCCTGTGGCTGCTGCCTTTTAATCAGCAAAAGGTTAAGGCCTGCTTAAAATACGGCCAGCTGTGTCCTGGTTTATGCTGAACTCAGGGCATATTAGGAGATGCCGTGTCCCTAACCTACAGGAGAGACCCATGGCATACTTGGAGCATCTGTGGCAAGTTGGGCTCCCAGAAGGCAGTGGGCTGGTATGCAAAGTCTCTTGGCTCAGTTGCCCTGGTGGCTTTCCTTTCCTACTGAAAGGAGCTTCCTCTTCTAAATCAGTGGCTCTTGGTGCCAGGAGGAGAGCACTGGAAGCTGCTGCGCCCTGTGGTGGGGAAGGCTGCTGCACACCTTCTGCCTGAGGTGCTGGTGCAGTGCAGACCTGGGGTGATGTGGGCTTGGTGTGCACCCCGGGCCCTCAGGATGGGAGTTCACTGGGATGATTGATGCCAACACTTGTTTTTCTATGTCCCCAGTTGCGCAGGAGTCCCATCAAGAAGGTCCGGAAGTCTCTGGCCCTGGATATAGTAGATGAAGATACGACGCAAAATATGCCTGTCCTCCCCAAGACTGTCTGTTTCAAAAGAGCCCAGGTGAGGGGTACTGTGCTCAGAGCAGGGGTAGAGCTGGCTTCTGCTCCAAAGAAACCCTGTGCAAAGCAGTGGTGGGAGCTTTGCCACCTGCAGCTGCCTTTGAATGGTCCATGTGAATGTGGATGAAGGGCTGGATTTGTTAGCTGGCCTTCTGGCCAGGCCAGGTATCAACACTGTTAGGGCAAATCAACTTGTTTCCTTATACTTTTCTTTTTTTCCCCTTTGCAGCCTGTGAATTTCCTGTCGAGGTCCCTGAACCTTTCCTCCTCGAGCAGGAAGAACGACAGTGGCTTGCTCAACAGAGCCTTCGTGCAAGTTCAGCCAGAGAAAATGTCCTACAGGAAAATGCCGAGCCATTTCAGACCACCAGCACCAGTAAGCCCTGCAGCTACTGCCCTCCCGGTGAGGAGGCTAGCTGGTGGTAGTGCAGCCCTCGTCCCTCCTCGGGAGGAGGAGCGAGGGGACAAAGCTCTCCGCACTCCTGCGTAGGCATCCATATGCTGTCAGGGCTGGCTTTGCACCCAGGTTTGGACATGCTGAGCCAGCAGTGTCACGCTACAGCTTCCTCCTGTCTCTTTGCAAACCCACCCTGCTGCTGGGGCTCAAAGCCCCATGGCTGATCAGAGCTGTGGCCTGCTTGTTTGGCCCCGGATTTCCTCATGGGAATCCACATCCTGTCCCAATCCATCAGAGAATTTAGAGGATTGACTCAGTAGTGAAGTAAACTTTTTTCCAGCGAGCACTCCTTGAGTGGGCAACAGTAGGGTCATCTTTTTTGCTTCTCCGCGCATAGCAAGTCTGTGAAGTGCTGTATAAATGCCAAGCAAAAAGGTATTTCCCATCCCTGTGATTTTTAGGGTGTTTCTAGGTTGTGATGAAGGCTGTGTGCCATAGGCAGCATAGGCTGGCTTTATCCTGCTGTTTACCTGAACCTGTGGCAGTACAGAGCTCCAGCTGACAGTGTGCCACCTCTGTAGCTCGTGCTGAGGTTGGTGGTGTTAGAGCTACCCTGTTCCTCAGCTCCACACTGTGGAGCACATCTGGGCTGTGCTGGAGTCACAGTAGACTACAAATGCACTCTGGGGCATAAATGGTTTCTTGTTCTCTCCTTAAAATCTTTGCCATTTGGTATGTTTGCAGGCAGAGTGCACTAGTAGAGGGGTATCCCTGCTTTGTAAGGCAGTGTGGCTTAGAGAAGGGGATTTGTACCATGATTTTGCAGATACTTGCTTGGACCAAGTCACGGGAGTGTTCTGGTAGCTTGAACGAGGATGGAAATACATGCTGTCCTTGGTGGGGGGTGAAACTGCAACTGGGGGCTAGTGTGGGGGTGTTTTCAGATCCCAGGAAGAGTCCAGGTACAGTGTCTTCGCTGAGCAGCCTTGGCTCAGTCTTCACTAAACACTGCAGCGAGGAGGGTTGCAGCTGTCCCTGGATTAGAGCTGTCTGTTGTGAAAGCTTTTTCTCCTGATAAATAAGTACTCCTCAGCCAGAGTAATTCCTTCCCCTTCTCAAAATAAACCCTACTTAAACACTTCCATTCCTCCTCCTGTCCTACGCAGGGTCGTATTGCTCTGAGAGCTAATAGATCCATATAAATAAAGCTTTGGGAGTGACTTGAAGGTGACAGTAAGGCAGCTTGCGTGGTGACAGAGTACAGGTGTGCAGTGAAATCCCATTGCCCAAAGACAGCAGAGCTGTCTGCGGTGTTGCTGGGCTCTCGGGATTTATTGTACCAGACTGGTGTTGCTAGCAGTGGCAGTTACTTATTAAGGAAGCTCACCTAGCTGTGGGCTGAACCTAAATCAGCCCCAAAGCCATGCTGTGGCCGCATGAGGCGTTGGTACTGTAAGCAAACGCTGAAGCTCGAGCTCTGGTTCTTTGCAGTGCATGTAAACAGGTATTTCCAGTTCAGGGCATTGCGTATCTCTTGGCTGCCTTTATCAGAGGACTCGCAGGGGTTTTCCTGGGATGCAAAAACACCTCATGGGTGCCCTTTCTGCACGCAGTGACTGAAGCGCACCTGACTTGCGGCCCTTGGTGTGCTGCAGGGCCCTGCTGAAACTACAGGCACCAAATTGCTGTTAAGGATGGTCTTTGACCAATCTAGACCTGGGGCTATGCAGCTCGTGCAGGAATTGAACCGGTTGGGAATAAACCCCAAAGCTGTTCTTGAATTCCTTCCATCCTTCTGGACTTTCTTCAGCACAAGGAGCCTTCGTGGGTTTGTGCTTTGGGGTTTTTGTCTCAAGTCAAGTGAGGGAAAGCCCTGAAAGGGCACATGCATAGTCCTGAAATTGAGCACTCACCTGGGAAACTGCTGAACATAACCTCCCTTTGCTAGAAACGACCGTCTCGGCTGTGATGAGTAACTGGTGGTGTGCAAGTTCCTTCTGGTTGCATGATGGGTGCTCGTAAGTGGGAGGTTTTATTTCCCTTGGGTAGCAGATAGCTGTTAGTTTATTTTTGCAGTATTTTAAAACAGGATGTCAACACTGTGTTTGTCCTCTCCCATAACTGTGTTGTACACATGCTTTCTTTTCCTTCTGTAGATGACCAGGGCTTGGAAAGCGGTGGCCTGTGGTGGAACCCGAGACCAACTCTTCATGCAGGAGAAAGCTCGACAGTTTTTGGGGATGTTGAAACAGAGTCACACGTCAAGGACCTTAATCTTATCATGAAGGATTGTTCTGCCTTTTTTTTTTTTTTTTTTATTTTTACAAGGGGAGGGGGAACCACAGGAAACAATATCTTCTGCCAGGCCATAGTGTGTGGGAGTGGATTTCTTTCCTTCTGTTCCCAGGTAGATCTATATTGTAATAAATTGGGCTAACTGCTGGCTAATGCGTGGAATGCAAGTTTTGGGATCATTATGGAAAGGCAAACAAGGGAGGGTGGAGAGCTAACAGCAAGACCTCTCTCTGCAAGACCTGGGTTCTGCGAAAGTAGAAGCACGCAGCCGTGTTCCACCTTGGAGCAGCATGTGCAGTGGGCAGTGGAGACCAGCCTTGCAGCCTGCCTGGATTTCATGCTGGCTGCTCTGGTACCTCGGGAACGGCTTTTGCAAAGGTTCCTGCGCGTCTTGCATCTCCCCTCCGGCTTTCCCTGGGGAATGGAGTGGTCTCCCCTCACTCCAGGAGCAGGGAGGGTGTTGCGCGCTCGTGGGAGAAGTGCTTTGGGGTGACCCGTGTTTGGAGTTGGCCCCTTGCTCCCTGTGGGGCTGCTTTGTACTGCCGCGCTGCAGAAGGGGAGCGGCGGGTGCCTCTCCCCAGGGCTGTGCTCCCTCTTCAAATAAATGATGGTGCTAACATCACCCTGTTGCTTGGACTCTGACTCTGCCCGGGGCCCCACAACGCTCAGGGGGGGAAGGCAGCGCTGTGCTGGGATGCAGCAAAGCACTGGCTTTCATGTGGGATCTTTTCTTTCCTGGCAAATTGTCGAATTCATGTTAGCCTCTGTGTAGCTAGGGATGTTTTCCCCCTTGCTCTCAGTAGTTTAATCGGCTATTTAGGAACAGTTTTGGTTACTTTATGGGAAGGTGCTAGAGTGTGTTTGAGCTTAGCGTGGCCAGGATCTCTGCAAAGCTGCAGGAGTGGATGGAGGCTGCAGAAAGCTGTGGGCAGGAGAACAGCACCAGGAGTGTGTGATGTAGCAGAGCCTCTTGTGTCCTCCTTCCTTTGGTGGCCAAAGCTGTGTCCGTGTTGCTCTTTCAGTGCAATAAGAGTAATATGGTGTGCTGTTTCAATGTAGCCAAGGTTGAAGTGCGGTGATAGTAGCAGTATATTAACTGTTTGCAATTGGAAGCGTGCTGGAAATGCTGAAGAGCAACTCACCGGTTAGACCAGCACATGAACAGCTCTTCGGGTGAGCCCCGTTCGGGGCTGCGGTGCGATGTGCCACCCTCTGTAAGCCACCAAAGCCATCGAGGCAGATCTGCCTCTGGCTGGGGGTGGCAGCACAGCAAAGATGCGGGGAGGGGGGTCCGTTCACCTCTGTGCCTCTTAACGGGGTCACTGTCCCCAGTCCCTTTGCAGGGTGGAAAAACAGAGCAGAGCTATATAAATCTTGCTTCAGGTTGTGGCTTACATTGGAAATGGAGTAAAAAAAAAAAAACCAAAACCTTACTGACAAACTTGTTAATAAAACCTTGGATCCTGGGAAATGAGGGAGTTTCAGAAACCCAGCTCATTTTTCAATTCTACAAGCTCAGGGCCAAAGTAAATCCATGAAGTCATTTTTATTTCTGTTTCTCAGTGCTGCAATGTTTGCTTTGGAAAGACGGCTGGGACCACTTGTCTGAAAGCCTGGCTTCAGCTGCTTCCATTCTGTTGTTATTTTAAGAAAAATCCCTTCCGTTCGGGCTTTAACGGGCTCGTCCTTGGCCTTTCCTGCACTGGGTGACTTTACAAAACCAAGCCCAGGATTGCGCTTCCTCCCCGGAGCCCACGTGAGCTGGGAGTCCTGAGCAGGCAGGGTCTGCCAGAGAATAAATCCGTGTGTGAGCCCGGTACGTGTTTGGGACCTGCCCCTAAATTAAAGGATTATGAGGCTGATCAGTATTAACTGCTGCTCTGATGCTGTAAATCCAGATAGTGCTGGGTGTCCTGCATTGCAGAGTGCTTATTAAGAAAGATTGAGGGGCAGAAAAATACTGAGGAAAACGAACAAGGCCTGGTATGGTTAATGAGTAAAAAGACAATTAGCTTTTAATTGGAAAACGGAGCTCCTTCTGGTGTGGATATTACCAGCCTGGCTTGGCTGTCCTGGTGCTCAGGAATAGGTGCTGCTCCACAGGTGGGGGAAAAAAGGCCCCACTTGCTTTGTTTTTCTGGTAATTCAGATGCTTTGCTTTATTTCCATTAAAACCTCGTAAAGGTTGAACTTCCCGCTGGCTGTGGAGTCCCTGGGCCCAGCCGGGCAGCGCTGGGCTGGAGCTGGAGAGCCCTCTCAGTCCGGGGCTCCGTGTCCCTGGCTGTCCCCTGGCCATCGTCCCTTTGAACCCTCCGCAGTAACCCAGCCCTCTCAGGCTGCACAACCCTCATTCACAAAAAGAAACCTGGAAACGTAATTTAGCTTTAAACGAAAGACCAGGATGAAAGAGTCCCAGGAGCTGTGGTGCCTCTGCCGTGCGGGAGAGGAATCCTCTCCTGTGGCCCAGCTTGCTGGAAAGCTGCAAAAACCCTGGGTTGCTGCTTTATTTTAAACTTTGTATTTGCTTTTGGTATTTTGCATTCCTCAACAGAGCAGATGACCCCTTGTTTGAATCCAGACATGGAAAAAGGATTGATTTTAGCAGGGACGAGAGGGCAACAGCAGAGCTGGAGCTCCCGGGGTCACAGCAGTGCCCAGACTGCAAGTGGGATGTTGCTTCCAGCTGGGAAAAGCTCTGAAAAAGCTGGGGAGAGCAAAAATATCGGGGTAAGGAAGAGAAGAGGAGACCCAGGTTTTTTTATTGGCTGGCTTCCTTCCAGGTGGAGCTGGGTGGTGCCTGGGTGGGCAGCAATCGGGCAGAGCGGTGCTGAGCCCGTGAAGCTCCGGAGCCGGCAGCGCGGGAGGCGCTGCGTGTCCCTCAAAGGGCTCTCGGCTGCCGGGCTTGTTCCTGCTGGTTGGAGGGATTTCACAGCCTTTTTATCTTGTTTTCACAGCTAATTCTGCTAAAGCGCTGTGCAAACAGCAGGTTGCTCACAGGGGGCTTTTTGGCAAGGCACCCGTGGGGAGACTTGTCCCTGCACGCAGCCGTGGAGGAATGCAAACAGCGAATAAAGTATTTTTTCCTATTTTGGGTATTTCCTGTAACTGAAGGAAATAAAAGAAAAAGGCAGTTGAAGTGATGCACCCTGTTTCCTGGGTCACCCACAAAACCACCCCTGGTAAAGCAAGGGCTTTGCCTGCTCCCGCGCGGAGGCTTTCTGCCAGCGCAGCTGCGCCGGCCGGGCTGGCACCACCGAGCACCGCAGCTGCGGCGGGAGAAGCTGCTGACCTGGGTGCAATTACTGGTGCAACCCAAACTTGCCCCGTTGACCTTGCTAACGCACAGTACTTAGTAACTAATACGATGGCATAGAGCAAAGTAAATTGCAGGGCATGAAACGATGAATAATTGCTTAGCGGTGACACGGAGGTTTGAGTTTTAGCATAACCTGTTGTTGCCTGATGTTTCCACAAAAGCATTATGGCGAGGCTGTGGCGTGCACGGAGGGCGTCCGGAGGCTTTGTCCTCCCAGAGCAGTGGTGTGATCCCGCGTTACAGCAGGGCTGTTGGATGCACTGGGAGCATCTCAGCTCCATTCAGGAGCCATCCCCGCTCCCCGGTGTGCAGGCATGCTGCTCCGTCCCTGCTCTCTTCCTGCACAGGGCAGTGGGGTTTACCCGGGCTGTGCATCATCTGGGGCGGCGGGTGTGCTGCACTGGGGGGAAAAAAAGATGAATTTCCCATTCGTGGCTAAATTTGAGTTGGTTACACCTCGATGATGTTTCACGAGCTTTATCGCAGCTCGGTGCAGGAAGGGAGGCTGCTTTAGACCCCACATTGGACCCTGTGAAGGGGACAAGGGGATGCCGGGGTTGGGGTGGGTGGCCAGGGCTTCTGCTTCGCCAAAAAATGCTTTGACCCTGGGGATTACTCAAAGAGCGAAGTGCCTCCTCTCCTGCCTTTGCTTATGGTATTTATTGAGCAGCTGCTAAGCAATAACCTTGTAAAATTTCCCATGGGCTTTTTCTTGACACCCTAACCTGTGGGTTTAGAGGTTTAGGAAATTAAAAGGGCAATTTTAGCCTGGTAGGTATGTGCTGAGGATTAGCTGAGCAGCTCCTGGATTTTGTGAGAGATGGAGACCACTCATGTCAAGAGCTGGCTGCAGCTGGACAGGAAACTAATTGCACTTTGGAAACTTCAGGGTTTTTTTCCCCCCATTTCTGGAGCGAGGAAACTGCAATTCTTCATCTCCACTAATACAGAGTAATAAAAGATTAAAATATGGTATGAGGTCAGGGAAAACAGTTTGCTGTGGAAACTGAAGGATTTGGGGTGATGAAATGAATGTTTCCATTTGGCAAATGCTAGAAAAGAGAAATTTCAGGGAGTTAAACCCCCCGCTGTGCAAAGACTCAGCAGAACTGCCTGGGGGACAGGCGCAGGCTCACCTCCCCTTGCCATGGGCAGCGTCCAGCTTGTACGTGTGTAGCTGGCGGCGATCAAAACCATCACCTGGATCACAAGTGACCTAATAGCTCTTGAAAGGCAAATTTAATGCTATATAGGGGGTTTTATTTGTAAATGCATTAGTTTTTTGGGTTTTTTTTCAAAATACTAGACAGATGTTGTAGGAAAATAAGTAGAAATTGCATTCCTACTTCCCAGGGGTTTTTTTTTGGTTTGGTTTTGGAAATCTCACCCAAAGTTTTGGCTTCGAGTGAGGCAGCCAGCCCAGAGGGACACCTTGCAATCACTGTTGCACAGTGATGCCTTTTAAGGGGCGATTTTCTTTTTTCTTTTTTTTTGGTGCAAATGCACTGTGTCCTGTCCTGAGTTCGGCCGGGGCACCGAGCTGCCGAAAGCGCCTGAGTCTGCCCATTGGGGAAGGGAGAGCCCAGCGCCTGGCTGTGCTTCGGGCAAAGACCCAGGGCACTGTCTCACTTTGGACGGGGAGATGCTCCAGCGCATTGCGCTGATGTTCACCACCACCCCGTGGGCGAGCAAAGCTGCCCCCCTGCTCCCCTCCTTGCTACAGCAGCTGGAGTTCAAATGCAAAGTCTGGTGCATAAAGCTGCGTTTTTTCCGTCCTGCGTTTGCAAAGCTGTCACAGCAGCGGCGCTGGTGCCAGCGGCTGGGGACGGTGCTGCCA